GTTGAGAGGGAACCTGGAGTTTTTGAGGAAAAGAAGAAAATTGAAGAACTTAGAGATAAGCCAGCCTGATAGGACAAGGTGGCCAGGATGTATCTAGGGTAAGCCCTAGTCACCGGGTCTGAGAAAAACATGGGTCTGAATCTGTCTCAATATCAATATCATCTGTGGAGCTCAAGCCACATCCCACCTCCAGGCACAACCTGACCTGCTCATCCAGTGTCTAAACCAGACTAGTAATTATGACTCTGAGCTCTCATCAAAGAAGCTCCTTTTGCAACACACAGAGACCATTACAGCAAGCCTCAACTGGTGCATAAACCAACTGATCCTGATTTGGGGATATCTCCAATGGCTACATCTACAACATATTCCCATCCCTAGGGCTTGTGGAACATGACAGAAGAGGGAACAGAAAGACTCTAAAAGCCAGAGGATCAGGAAGTTGGCTGTGAATTTATTTTCCAGATATGACAGGAAGGCTATCCCCATGATACCTCAACAATATGGCTACCTAAGCAAGCCCTGAACAAAGACACCGCCCATTGACATCCCAGCTTGAGTGAGGGAAAGCCCACAGGGCTCCTAGATGAGGAGCTATAAGAATTTAATGGCTGCTGAGAGGTGGAGAATAAGTATTCCCCAGGATTAGCCCCTCATATGGTTATCCAGTACCAAGTGGTGAGCTCTAAAAGCACATACATATAAGCAACACTAAGCACCACACAGCAAGGTGTATTTATTTATTTGAATATAAACATGTGACACTAATAAGTAGGCAATGAATTTCAGAGGGATCATGAAAAGCAGGGACTTACAATGTACTGGAGGAATCATATAGAGGGGAGAAATGATGTAATTATATTTTCATTAAAATTGTTTTTAAAAATTAGGGAGAAGAGAGTTGGTGACTCCCAGTTTAGGGGTCCAGAAAAGACTCTATTCTTGGAGTTAGCAGAATTTGAAAAAAAATGCAAAGCTTCTGATGTAAGACATTAAAGAAGCTTCTGGGTAAAATTTTCAAATTGTGGAAAATAACAGAAAGATATTTGTGCTTCTGCATGACAAGGAGCAATCTCCATAGTGCCAGGGAGGGTGAGAGCCTTAGGAGGTACAGACAAGCAGAGCAGACATGAGGGAAACAGTAACAAGTAGGGAACAGAAGAGCTTAAAAAGAAGTTCACAGAAATTTATGCAGAGAGGGAGAAAGATTTGAGTTTGTATGTGGTGGTGTGTGCATTTAATTCCAACATTCAGGAGGCAGAAGCAGGCAGATCTCTGTGAATTCTATACCAGCCTGGCCTATGTAGCAAGTTCCAGGCCAGTCAGGGATACATAGTGAGAATCAGAATCAGAAAAAACAAAAGAATTGAATAACTAACAGGCTTAAGAATTTAGTGGGGGAAATAAACAGCACCTAGTGGCATACAGTTCATGAGGAGATGGAGAAGTGGATAAAGTGAAAATTCTCATGATCTGCCTTTGAGGACTGTCAAGGCCTTGCTAGGGGATACTGAGAGAGGTCTGGGAAATGGAGAAATCTCTCACATGTAGGCTTGGTCATCCTGAAAACAACTGTCTCTTTAGACAGCTTGTCATGGAGATATCTCATTGCCATATGCTTCACTGCATGAGGCCCAGTAGAGAAGAGACAGAAACAATGCGACTATCAGTTAATAGAAAAACTGATAAAGAAAGTGTGGTGCACAAACACATTAGAATACTGGTCATCCTCCAGAAAGGAAATGCTGCTGCTGTTGGTGGCAGCCAGAATGTATCCAGAGGAAGTTACGTGAAGCAAGCCAGTCACAGAATGACAAAAACCACAGGATCTCACTTATGTATAGAATGCAAAGACATTCATCTCAGAGATGAAAAACATTGAGAGTAGAATGGTTATCAGAGGCTAAGGAAAGGGTAAATGGAGACAGAGAAGATGCTGGACAAAGATATGAAATTCCATTTTGATGGGAAAAATGCATTTATTGCGTTCTACTGTGTACAAGAGTGACAGATTGTTTATTTAACATTTCCAAAAATGGTAGACAGAAAACATTGTCACACCTAAAACATAATGAATGTCAGAGGTGATGGACATGGAACTCGGCCTAATTTAATCATACTATGGTGTAAATGCAC